TAAAGAAACATTCACATGAAACTTTGGATAAGAGACATAATCAGGGGATTGGGGTTGTGGCTCAGAAGTAGAGCGCTCGCAGAGCATGCTTGAGGCACTGGGTTCAATCCTCAGCACCACAAAGAAATAAAATAAAGGTATAGCGTCAACCTATAACTAAAATAAATAAATTTTTTTTTAAAAAGAAGACATAATCAGAATGTTGACAATGGTTACAAAATGCCATGCCTCATTAACAGTAGTAAAAACACAAATAGAGCCGGGCGTAGTGGCGCATGCCTATAATCCCAGTGGCTAGGGAGGCCTAGACAGGAAGATCACAAGTTCAAATACAGCCTCAGCAAAAATCAAGGTGGTAGGCAACTGTCTCTAAATAAAATACAAAATAGGGCTGGGGATGTGGTTTAGTGGTCAAGTGACCCTGAGTTAAATTCCCAGTAACAAAACAAAACAAAACAAAACAAAAACCCCACAAATAAATGAAATAAAAACGGCAAAATGTAAACATTAAAACTTAGTGATGGGTATGTGGGTATTGAATTATTCTTTCTGTAGTTTTTAAAAATATCCTTATAAAAAGAATAATAATAGTAATCAAATTCCAAAGAGGATCATAGAAAAAGCATGTAGGAGAAAGATTTCATAGACTTTCAGACATTTGAATGGAAGGGCCTTTCAGCTATACTCTAGTCTAGTCTATTAGACTTTGTTTTTGATTTTCATGAAAAGTGTGCATTTGGGTGAGTCACCAAAAGCCTAGGAAATTTTATATTTTTATTTGTAAAATAAGAAAGCTAGATTAACTGAGTTCAAATATTCTATGATAAACTCATTAAAAGCTAGCTAAGAGACAAGGCATATGTAGGAAATCTTTTTACCTTCCTCTTAATTTTGCTGGGAAACTAAAACTGCTCTAAAATAATAGATTATATATTTTTAAAAGAGCTAGCTAAGACTATCTTTCAGAAATCATCAAGGTAGGTATAAGATCATAAGAAAGTGAGTACAACTCTTGTTGCCTGGAACTCAGGGTTCTTCTTGATCTGTCCCCGACTGAACTCTTACTGTTTTGTATACACTTTCTATCCTAGTCATTTCATCTGTGCCTAGAATATCTTTCTTTCCATTCCTACCTGGTGAAATCCTATTCCTCTTGTAAGGCCCATCTCAAATATTACCACTTTCGTATTAACTTACTGGATTCCTTAACAAGAATTGACCTCTCTGCTCACTAAATCCCATATCACTCTTTGTATTGTCATGCAGACATTTACTTTTTGTTTTTTTTGGCATTTGAGTAATTTTTGAAAAATATGTTTCTTAATACTAGATAGTAAACTTYTGAAGGAAGAAGGATCATACCTTCATAAACGGAAAGTATTAGCATGATGGCTTATGAATAGGAGATTCTTTTTTTTTTTTTGGACTTAATGATGTTTTATTTAGCAACTTTGCTATGAATTGCTTTCTCTGGGCTGAATAGGAGATTCTTGATAAGAGAAGACTCATTGTATAAAGTAGAAAGAGACTTAGGTAAAATTTGGATTCAGCTATTGTGCTACTAAACCCTTATTGGCATAAACTAACTTTTTCTAAAACTATGACAAGAGAATATGATTATTAATTTTTCTTTTTTAGAAAATATTATATTTTTTTAGTTATAGTTGGACACAATACCTTTATTTTATTTATAATTATATGGTGCTGACGATCGAACCCAGGGCCTCACACATGCTAGGCGATTGCTCTACTGCTGATCTACAACCCCAGCCCTGATTTTTAATTTTTCCAAATAATCTTTTATTATTGTAAGGTTTTCCAAAAAACTAAAATCCTGGCCAAAGAAAGTGTCACCCAAGATTTCCATTTATTGGCATTGTGATAGTTTGGCATGTTTCATGCTACCTAGAGGTTAAGATAGGGATTACTGCCTCCACCAAGTTCTCAATTCAAGACACAATAGCAAATGGAAGGCAATGCTCTTAAGTATCTGAACACTGATCTGTTCTCTCTAAAGGACTTTCTGGTAAAACCTCGAGTGGAAGTCATAGCATTCTTGGAGCCTATCTGGGTCTGCTGTAGGAAGCAGAGGAGTGAGGAACTTATAGAGCCCTAGGAACCCAGTGGTACATGGTGACTGACTACCAGTAAAATATGGTCCAATGAATATTTAGGGCTCTGAATAGTTACATTGCAGTAACTTCACTTTCAGTTGTATCTATGTGTGGATAGTGCAGTGGTGGTGGTGAAGAATGGCATTGACAAAGGTCAACATTCCTTCAAGATTTGAAAGATTTATTTTGAGTTATTTTTGTTTACTTAGTTAATTTACTTCTAGATCATTATTTTAGAGGAGACTATGTATGCAATGATAACTTGATTTTTTTTTCAATGTGGGGGATTGAACCTAGGGCCTCATGCATGCTAAGCAAACACTCTACCATTGGGCTACATTGTCAGTCCCATAGCTAAATTTTTTGTGTTTTTTCATTTGCTACTGAAGATGGAACCCAAGGCATCATGCACACTAGGCAAGAATGCTGCCACCAAACTACATCCTCTGGCCTTTTAAAATTTTATTTTGAGACAGGGTCTTTTTAAGTTGCCCAGTTGCCTTAAACTTGTGATCCTCCTGCCTCAGCCTCCTAAGCAGCTGGATTACAGGGATGCACCATAGCGCCCAGCTCCTGTAGCTAATTCTTATTCTAATTCTCTTTCTTCTGTTGGTATTGGAGATTGAATCAGGGGTGCTCTATTACTGTTATATCCCCAGTTCCTCTTTTAGTTTTTGAGACAGGGTTTCACTAAATTGCTGAGGTTGACTTTGAACTTGTGATCTTCTTGCCTCAGCCTCCTGAATTGCTGCGATTACTGGAGTGCACCACCATGCCCAGCTTTCTTTTCTTTTTTTAATGACTAAATCCCGTCAAGTTTTATTTATTCTCATAGCTATTTTTTGCTTATTCTTTCAATTTTGTTTCATTGCATCTTAATGCAGAATATACTTATACAGTGTCATACTTAAGTGATAATTAGGAAAGTACCCAGATAGTTCCAAATTAGTGTTTTATCTTGTAATGTGTAACTATTCCTTTGAAAACTTTAGAAAAGATATTAGGGAATGTGTGTATTTTGTCAAGATTTATACATTACAATTGAATGTATTCTGTTTGTTGGGGCTTCTTTTTTTCAGTCTTAAAACATTAATTCAGGGCTTACAAGCTCAAATGAACAAAAAAGGATATATTTCTTGACTAGTGCAAACAGAAAATTGGTTTTATACTGGGTTTTGTTTGATTAGGCTTGATTCTAACAAGCATTCTGCAAGAAGCTTCCACCAAAGATGGTCTCAAGGAACACAGACACCCCACTACTTTACTAGTAAAATGCTTTTGTGCATTTCAGAATTTCTTATGTGAGGATAAGCAATAATTTAAAAAAAATTTAGTTGTAGATGAACACAATACCTTTATTTTTATTTTTATGTGGTGCCCCGAGGATCAAACCCAGTGCCTTCCACATGTGAGGCAAGCACTCTACCACTGAGCTACAATCCCAGCGCGAGAAGCAATAATTTTATAATAGTAAATGAACAAGTGTTCATAAATAGGTTTCACATATTAACGTTTATTTCGCTAGTAGCATCAACATCCTAGGTTACCACTCTTCTTTCCTTCACTCAAATATAAATAAGAGGCCAGGTGGGATCAGGATTCTGCTAGATACTAAAAATATAATAAACCACAGAGCACAACTCCTACTTAGTAGAGTTTACAACCCAGCTAAGTCATCGTAAGTGTTCTGGCGGAAAAGTGGAGTGCAATGGGAGCTAAAGATCAATTACCCAGGTTGTGGCTTGCTCTGATTTCTTGATTTTCTTTCATTTCAGAATCGAAGAAAGAGAGGATACAAGCTCTACTAAATAAATGGTGGTATGCAGGCATAAACTGTCTTCAAGGAAGAGCATTATTCAATCAAATATTCAAGTTTCTCTCACTCCACTTCCTTGGAAGATTTGCTTGTGTGTCTACCAGTGGTGTTCATGATGATCCCTCACTCCTCAGTTCCAGAAGAAGAGAGTAGGGATTGTGAGCTTCTTCTGTAGAATGGAAAGTAAGAGGAATGAGCAGGGAAAGAAAGCCATGTCTTTGTGAGGAGCAGAGTTCAGGGTCTAATTCCTGTTACCTTATCAGCCTCCAAGTGTACCTGCAACAAGAGCAGATAACATCAAAGGAGTCCCGAGCTGGGGAACCGAGCGCCTGGGTTACTTTACATTGACCTGGAAAGCGCCAGGGTAAATTACGAAACACAGGCAGGGGGCTGGCAACTGTAGCCCCCTTTAGAAGTCTCAATGCTGTATGGATATTGAATTGTTTTGTTTCCTCCTCTCACCATTTAGTTGCTAATTAAGGGGTGTCTTGTGAGCAGGGGTGAGAGATGGCGGAACGTTTCAAGGACTAGTGTCTTAGAATGATATAGGCATCTGCACATGTCACAGTTTAAAAGACGATGGCTCAGACCGTTGTGGGAAATGATCTCAGAGCGGCTGTTCACCTTCCCCAAAGCTGCATTTTTTTTTTTTTTTTTAATTATGGTGAGTAACATCCCCTTCGGAGGACAGGCTGCCTCCCTGCGGCTTGCCCTCTTCCCTGCCGGCGGCTAACGGGAGGGGTGTGTGTGGGGTCGCCCCAGTGCCGCAGCCGGGGCTGGCGGGCACGATTCCTGCCCTCGCCGGGCGCTCCCTCAGAGCCCGCTGGGCGCGCGCGCCCGGCCGAGGCACGTCGCCGCCCCTCGCGAGCGCGCCCCCTCCCCGTGCTTGGTCTTCAGCGCCCCCGCCCGCCCCGCGCTCCCACAGCCTGAGCGCTGCTCAGCTGACCCTCGGGCGCCAGACGCGGTGGCTCCCGGCTCGCGAGCGCAGCTGCGGCGGCGCGAGCCTCTCACGCCGACACTCCCCCTGCGCGCCCCTCCCCCAGCGGGGCCAGGATCCGGACGGGCCGCGCGCGAGCCCGAGGCCGCTTTTCCCGGCGCCGAGGCTGCGGTGGCGAGCGGCGGCTGCGCGGCTATGGGCGCGCCGGGGTCGCCCTAGTAGGACCGGCGCGGAGACCGCAGCGGGAGCGACAGCGGCAGCCTCCACTGCTAGCCTTCCTCAGTGAGCCTTCCTCAGCGGCGGCGACGACAGCCGCAAGAACAGCGGGGCCGGGATGAGCGGGAGCGGCGCGGCGCCCGGCCCGGGCTCGGGCTCAAGCTCGGGCTCCGGCTCCTCCTCGGCAGCCTGCCGCTTCGCGCACTACTTCGTGCTGTGCGGAATCGACGCAGACAGCGGGCTAGAACCCGACGAGCTAGCGGGTAAGGCCGGGCTGCGGCGGCGCGGGGGTTCCCTCAGGGGTGCGGGGAAGGCTGCGGCGACGCGCGGGAGGCGGGGTGCAGGATCCAGACAAAGTCGGCTCCCGGAGGCGCCCCTCGCCGCTGCCGCCGACGCTGCCGCTCTCCGGCCGGACGGGCGGTCGGGTGGCGATTTAATGACATTGTTATTTATTCCGCGCGCAGGGTGAATGTTGAGTCCTCGGACGACTCGCCGCCTAGGGCGCCCGCCGGGGGCTTTCGCCTCCCGAGTGCGGGGTTATTAATAACCGGCGCGGGGGAGGCCCCGAGGGCACGGCCCGCGCCCGGCACGTCGGCCGCTCGGCTAGCTGCTGCTAGCGGAGGCGGCTCCTGACAGGCGCGCTGGCTCCCCGACCTCGCGGCTGTCCCCTGTTTCCCTCTCCCGCCCTCTCCGCTGGGGCTGCGAAGTTTGGCCCCAGCACGTGACGTAGCGCCCATCCTCCTAGAGGAGGGGGTGTGGGAGACCTCTCGGCTGAGGGATGGATTCGTGCCCACCCCGGCGGTGGTGGCCGTGCGGGGCTGGCGGAGGCGCGGGCAGGAGGCTAGTTAGACTTCATCCGTGACTGTTCTCAGTCTGCGCCCCGCCTTCCGCCACCCCGGGTTCTGCTGACGGTCGAATCACCTTTTGGAATGCTGTCGATTTGGCAGTGTCAGGGAACCTGGAGGGGACCTTTGGACGCTCGGGACTCTGCACGATGCTTTGTTGACACTGCCTACGCTGTTCCTGAGTTGGAGTAGTTGGCTATTACCCCATCCAACTGGGTGCACCGTGTGTTACTGCCTGGGTTTTCCTGGAGGGGCACTGGTTCCTCCTCTTGACTCATTTGATGGCGCAGTGCAGGGCTGAGCTGGAGAACCTACCCTGGGAAAAGGGGCTGTTAAAGGATGACGGGGTACCGGGGTTGTGCGCCCTGTGAGAAGAGGCGAGGAGAAGGGACTGATTACATCTTTCATTCTGCTTGCCTCCGTGGGATCTGAATCTTGACTTTTTTTTTTGGGTTAAATGGGTGAGACAAGTGACATCTACTGCCTGAACTTTATCTGTGTCAGTGCTAAACACTTAGGTCATAGCCTTTTAGAACAGTTTCCTTTGGACATAGCATTCATTAATAATTGCACCAATGTGGATTTTTCGTTTTTTGGGGGTAGGAAACTGGAAAACTGGAAAGGATGTATTAAATAATAATAGTAAACAAAACTGTTCAGCCTTATCCATCAACTCATGTCTTAGCTATGTCTGTTAAGTCAGCCTTACAGCAAAACATTTTCAACAAAACTAAGTCTAGTTTTAGTTAAATTTTTGAATAGAGTACTAGAGTTGTGTGTGTGTGTGTGTGTTTTGGTGTGTATAGTTACGTAATCATATTTTTACATCCTCCTCCTCCACGTTCTCCACTATCCAAGGGTGCTTTACTACTAAATGACATCCCCGGCCCTTATTTTTTTTATTATTTTTTAAAAATTTTGAGTCAAGAGTCTCATAAAGTTGCTTAGGGCCTGGATAAATTGCTGGGACTGGCCTCCAACTTGTGATCTCCTGGTTTTAGCTTCCTGAGTTTCTGGATTATAGGTGTGTATCAGGGGCGGGTCTAATCATTGTTTTTTTTCAGCTAAAGTTTCATGTATATGCTTAGAGTGGCTTTGTTAAGGGATGTGAAGTTATAAAACAATGTCTATAGAGAGATTTGGAGAAATTCCTCTTTTGGGGATTGATGCAGGGATTATCTTATTTTTCTAGGATCTGCTCTTTAAATATTCTAAACATTTGTGGTAACAGGGTCATTTGAAGGCCTTCTGTGGGTGGTGACTGATTAAAGAAAGAAGGCCTGTATTTTTCCTTCTTTATTTGCCCTGTTAACACTAAAACAAAACCTTTTAAATGTGACCCAGGACTCTTTAGTCACAGTGCAAATGGGTCTAACAAAACTAAACATTCAATTTTAATGCCTTTAAAATTTATTTATTTATTTTAGTTGTTGATAGACCTTTATTTTATTTATATATTTATATGTGGTGCTGAGAATCGAACCCAATGCCTCATACATACCCAGCCCCAGCCCCAGCCCTATATTTAAGAACTTTTCAGAAGGCTTAGGTAGGAAGATCACAAATTCAGAGCCAGCCTCAGCAACTTAATGAGGCTCTTAGTAATTTAGCCAGATCCTGTCTCAAAATAAAAAGAGGTGGGGATGTAGTTCAGTGGTTAAGCATTCCTGGGTTCAATTCCTGGTACCAAACAAATAAAAAAGTATTTTTCTTTTCTCTTTCTTTACAAACAAGTAGAGAAAGGAGGAAGAGCAATGTCTGAGGAAGAAATGGCTACAATGCTTTTAGCACTGACAAAACATAGGATTTTAATATATTTATAAGACACAAACTTTGGTTTCTCCTTTTGCAGTATTGCATGTGTGATTGGGCTTTCTGCTTCTCATAATACTTGGTATATTCGGGTAATTTTGCCTGGCAAGATTGTAGTATAATTTATTGATTCACCAAATAGATTTTAAAGCCTCTGTATGTAGACTGTTCTAGGTACTGAACAGCTGTAGACAAAGTCAAAATCCCCTGTCGTAGTGGAGCTTACATTCTAGTGTAAGCAAATAATGAAGAGAGTTTGTCAGATGCTAATAAATACTATGAAGAAAAATTAAGCAGAGAAATGGAATTAAATGAATGTCAACAGAATGGTGGGATGGTGGGGTTGTAGTTTTATTTTATTTTATTTAGGTGCTAGAGATTAAACCGGAGAGCTTCACACATGCTAAGTGTGTGCTCTACCACTGAGCTACAGCCAACCGCCCTGTGAAGGCCTTGCCGAGAAGGTGACATGTGAAGAGTCTTGAAGGAGGTGAGGAAGCAAGTCATGCATTGCCTAGGGGAATAGCTTTGCAGGTGGAGAAAACAGCAAGAGCTGAGATGGATCAGTGCCTAGTTTGTGCCTGTCATAGCAAGGAGGTCAACCTAGCTACATCTCAGGGAGAGGGAGAGGGTAGGTGAGATTGTGTAGGTCCTTAAAGACAATTGTTAGGCTTTTACTTTTAAAAAGGGACTGCCACTGGCAGTGTTTCAGCAGAGTAATGATAAGGTCTGATACACCTAGAAAGGATCCCTGTGACTGCCATGTTGAATTGACTGTGTCATGGGTAAGAGTAAAAGCAGAAAACATGTTAAGAGACTCACTATTTGAGGTGAGAGATGTTTGTGGTTTGGTGAAATGGGGGAATTAGAGTCTAGATATATATTAACGGTAGAGCCAGTGGAATTTCCCTATGAATTGTATGACTATATGTGAATTCTATTAATATGGTAATTATAGTCAAAGAATGTGGTCAAAGATGACTCCCAAGATTTTTGGCCTGAACAATTATGAGCTTCTATACTGAAATAAGAAAACTAATGGAGAAGCAGACTAGTTCAGTTTTAGACATGTTTAACTTTGAAGTGCCTATTAGACTTTTAATGGAAATGTCAGACTTTCAGGCCAGAAGTCCACATTGTAGATGTCAATTTAGAGCCATGAAATTTGATCTAATCACTTAGGACGTGGTGAGTATAGATAGAAAAAAGGCTCAAATTCTGGGGTCTAGGGCACTCTAGCATGCATAGGATGAGGAGGAAACAAGGAGATTAAGGAGTGTGGACAGTAGACTGGGAAGAAAACAGGTAATTGTAGTAGTATAATGGTCTCAACTAACAAATTTTCTTTACTTTCCATAGAGTCGCATTTGGAGATTAGAAAGTGTGTGTGTGTATTTGTTTTTGTTGCTATTACAAAATGCCCGAGGCTGGGTATATTAGAAAGAAATGAGATTTATTTAGCTCACAGTTTTGGATGTTGAAAGTCCAAGATCACTATGGCTCTATCTGTACAGCTTCTGATAAGGGCCTCATGGAGGATGGTGTCACAGTGGTAGGAGTGCTTACAAAAGAGACCACATGGTGAGACAAGAAGCTAGAGAGGTGTTGGGGTCAGACTTGCTCCTTTTATGACCTCTTACTCTCTTAGTAAGTAACCTAACTAACTGGGGTCTCCAGAGAACTGTATTAATCCCTTTYAAAGGCAGTGCCCCCAGTGACCTAGTTATCCTTTGTTAGGCCCCACCTCTTAATGATTCTACCACTTCTCAACTTTGCTGCACTAAAAACCAAGCTTCCAGYGTGTTATCCTTTGGGGGACACACTTAAACCATATCTAAACTGTAGCACTGAGCTGGACAAATTAGTCAGAAGGTTGTTTCTGTTTTGTTGCATTAATTTCAGAGTTAATGATAGTTTGGTTTCTATTTTGCTTTTTAGAACTGATCTATTTTTATCCCACTATTTCTCAGCAAGTAGTTACCCTGCCTGTATAGGTCTTAATTGACTTCTGTTAAACATAAATTCTACTGATTGCTCTGTAGACTTTATTTCTTAACATATACATGTTCCTAGAATTCATCCTCTGCAGATGATAGATATTGAAATAAATTAAGTACACATCTCATATGATGAAGTAGCAATTAAACTTATGATAAAAGTTATCAAAATGATCACTTCTTTTAAGACACTCTGTCAAGTATCACCTAGCTTTAACAATCACGGAAAAAACTTGTTAAGCCAGGTACAGTGGCTCATGCTTGTAATCCCAACTGCTTAAGGGTCACAAGTTTGAGGTCAGCCTTGGTAGTAGCTATACTTTGTCTCAAAAATAAGAAGAGCTGGGGATCTAGCTCAGTAGTAGATTACCCCTGGGTTCACTCCCCAGTACTGCCCCCTACAAAAAAAAAAAAAAATTAAGAAGGTTTTTGATTTGTCTTGTTTTCAGTACTGGGAATTGAACCCAGGGTTGTTTTATTACTAAGTTAAATTCCCACTTTTTTTTTTTTTTTTTTTGAGACAGGACCTCTTTTAAATTGCCAAGGCTGGCCCTAAAGTTGGATCCTTTTGCCTTAGCCCTTTGAGTAACGGATTACAAATGAGCACCA